CCGTTTCACATCATCCCCTCGACAGAATCCGACACTTCCCCGAGTCTCTTAGCCTCGATGAAGAATGCCCCCCTCCACCGACAACGCTCACACCCTACTCATATACCAATATACTACAACAACAGCAAAGAACACCCCCTTACAATCTACGAAGTAGAGAACCGTGTAACAGAACTTAAGGCTGTTTTTTCCACTACAAAACACATTTTCGAAGTGTTTCATCTTCAATAGACGTTCGTTTTCCAGCCGGGGTGAATATCGTATTCTGGTTCTCTTGTTTATACACCCTTTTCTATTGCGTATTACATAAACCTCTTTCCATTACATCTCTTGTACCGGATTTATTAGTTGAGTAAAGCGTATAATTCCAACTTCGAGTCTTCTCCATTTCGCTCTCATTTGCTTGATTCGTAAAACGTTAAATTTGTTTTTGTATTTATCGTCTTTCAGGTTGCTTGAAAGCCTCCTCCACGGAGAACCTACCATGAGAAGTGTGCCCTACCTGTGTATGGAGAGCGTCGGTCAGTGGATAGAAATTGTGCGACCCTTTTGGGACGCTAGTTGTATGGGAACTAGGATTGCGGTGCTCGGAATACACCTGCCAGTGTTTTGGGTGGATTCAGAACTAGGGTCGGTCCGGCATACTACTGGAGTACGAGAATCCGGGAGGTTGTGTATCTGATCGTTTTCACTGTCTCAACAAAGTGAATTAGTCGGCTATTTTCTTTTTTGTCGTATGAGGTAAGTTCCGCATTTAGCTGGGGTCAACATTCAGGTGGATGTTGTTAACTTACCTTCTTAGGATATACAAAGCTAAGAATGTTACACATGATGGTTTCTTCAAACATTTAATGAACTGGTAGTGTTGAACGATAATACTCACTGCCAAATTCAGAGGCAATGCGCAGAAAACGATATTGTTGAGCAGATGTGTAGGCTTGAACCCCGAAGTTGTTACGAAAATACACAACTGTTATACAGCACGAAACATCTTCAACTGTTTAAAAGCGCTCCATCTGACTGAAGTTCTACTGCGCTTCGAAAATATTACTTTAATCATACCGATAACCATTTCAAGAACTCTGACTGACCGACCGACCAGGTTAATGAGGTAACATTCAAGGGTAGCCAACAGGTCATTGATTTTCGCCTCCGAAAGCTTCAGTATGGTAGGAGGTAGGCCTCGGGTTGTGGCTAGTCATCCGTCCCTTGCGCCTCGCGAAATCCTCTTGTACGAATAAGCATCTCAAATAGCCTTTGCTGAGGAAGCCCCGCTCACTGCCTTCTCGTGGCGGTGTTATCCCACCAAAATGAGAGGATGAAAGCCCAACATCCGGGGCTATAACTGGATTGAAGAACCCCTGACAGTTCACCTGGGAGAGTTAGCTAAAAACTCTGATTCCAAACTAACCAAGAGGCGTAGTGGCAGTGGTCAAGGGATTGCTTGGGTATCAAGGTGCATTGGGCACCTTGTCCTTGACCTTGTCCAAAGGGTGTATGATCCGACCAACTGACCAACAGCTCCTAATGGATTGCGGTTTGAACGTAACGCCCGCTGCCTTGCGAGTAAAGCTCTGGCTAACTGAAGGCTCCCTAAGAAAATTCACCCGCTTTGGTCTGAGCAACCTGGCAGTATAGCAACCACGAGCAAATCAAGAAGTGAAANTATTATAATACTAATTATGGCGTTTGACAGAATAGTGAAGTACACTCATCGACGCTGTCCAAAACGATGGGCACATTTCAAGGCACAGTTCAAATAGCTTACAACGACAATAGATATGCAAGCTTCCGTGTACAACCAATTCCCCATGGGTAGTGGAGGGCATGCAGGGGTAACGTATCTGGTGCCGATGGATTGCTCAGATCGGCTTACAGCGGAGATAAGTTCGTCTTGGTTGAAAAATCTGGGTTCACTCTCGGAAAGTGAGCAAGTTCCAGGTGAGTAGTGTGAATCGATGGTTTTACCGATTCACAAGAAGGATGATTATTCCGCTTGTGTAACCCCCAGAGGATTTAGTTTGATAAACATTACCTCAAAGCTGTCTGTACGATACTCCGCCTATGGTTTGCCGTCCGCGAAAAGAGCTCTCGTGACTGATTGTAGATTAAGTCAAAGTTACTTCGATCGAATCATCACCCCTAGCCGGATTCTGGAGCAGACTCCGTCTGCAAACCTATGATTTCTAAATTCCTTGATGTAAAAGTGGTCTTCGAATCGGCCAACTGTACAGTACTCTGGCGGTGCTTTTGCTTGATAAGTGTGACATTTCTGTAACTATTACCATATCCAAAGCCAAATTCAACTTTAAGACGCTTCTATGCTTGAACTCATTCTTTCGCTATCCTTACTTTTCTCTGATGGATATGATTTTGTAGACGGAGTTTCGGGACACCTATAGAACATAATTTAGAAACACGTAGATGCTGGTGGACCATGACCAATCGATAAGAATCTCTTCTGAGTTTTATAACAAAACTAAGATAATCAGTGTAAACTGCATGAGTCACTTCAAACAAAAATCCATGGTTAGCAAAACAACAAACAAATGGAAATTAGGGATGAGGAATCCCCAACTCACTCTGGAGCAAATCCAATCCCCGGTAGATACGTCGGAAAAGGCAGGACGACCCGTGAATGTGGACGGTCCTAATATTCCGGGAAGTAATGACGAATCCGGACCCTCCGGCATACTACGAGGTGTGCTGTAGGTTAGCCGTAATTCATGACGACGAATACGAAGACAACCCTGAAATGAATGCGAAGCAGGAATAAGGAAACGATACCAAGCAAACAAAACGACTGCACCGATACAGTCAGGACAATGAAAGTAACCATAAAATCCTCATAGGGATAAACCTGCATTTTTTCCAAACGAGTAAGGATATCAGTTGATTACTTTTTGATATTCCATCCATCGGATCGCCTCATGGACAGAAGCGAAGTCCACAAAACCGAAGCCCTTCGTCGCACCTGCGAACAGAGTTGACAGAACAACAAAATGAGAGTTGATCAAATAAAAACCCTCAAAACGAACAAACGTGAAGTGGGTAAGGGTGGTGACATGTATCGCAGGAGGAAAGGGCAGTTGTTTCAATGGACATTCAGTCCGGATTCTCACAATCCCGATCTAATCCGCGAATGCACGTGAATGTTCTTTGAAGCAAGCCAGTGGACCACGTTCATTTTAGGGGAATCGAAATGCACATGAATTTTGCAGCAATCGACTACTTAAGGGGGGTGCGGCGCTTCCAAAGATATGTCCAATAGAATGTGCGACGAGAACAGCAGATTGTTCTCAAACTATTACAATCATGTGCTTCAGTAGCATCGCGCTTAAAAAGACTGTAAAGCGATCGGAAGAGGCGCACTGCTGCGGCTTGTGGTTCGCCATTAGAGCTTTCAGATTGAATGGTCCGTCCCTTTGTTCTCGTGTTCGAAGGTTACCGACTACTTTCAACATGAGGTCTTGACCGGAATTTTACCATCAATTACTAGTACCGATTTAATTACTGTTGCTGGATTTGTTTAAAAAATCATATGCGTTTGTAGACAACGAGCCTCAAGTTTCTGATTGATCATGTTGCTTAAAAATGGTCGCACAAAATTGCACGGTCTAGGGCTATTCAAGCTGAAATGTTTCCACGTGGTTCCCGTTCAAATGATTGTCTGCCAACAATTGAGCTGTTTATCTCTTTCTCTCTCTTATTACAAAGCGGAAAGCCTCCCTTTCCATCGTTTGATCGAGGTTGTGTATTTCGTGGTTGATGACACCTGTTTCATTGCAGACCTCGAACACTCAACACCAAAAATCAACCCTCCGCGCCTCAAACCTCCAGCGCTTGTCATAACAAGGAATTTGCTATAAATGCTTGGTAAACCTATTCTACTTTCCTACCGCTGATGGATATAAACAGAATTCCAACCTCTCGTTTATTTTCGATCCCTTCCCTTACGTGTATGCTCCTCTTCTCTTAATGGTTAAATCGTTCAATAGCATACGTCATCCTCACCTGCAAACTTATCAGCTGGTGCAAAGTTCCGGGACGCTGGGGTATGCTACTACTGGTTTGATTGTTGTTCTTTTTTCCTAACATCACATCCGTGTTTCTGGTTGCATCCAGGCACTCTTCCTTTGAACTTGACGAAAGGCCTATATACTACGAAGTTGAACAAGAATGGCGAAATGGGGCAACTTTGACGGACAACAATTATGATGACGAATGAGCTACTTAGTTCGCTACAAACCGTGGGTCGGTTACAAGTATGTGGGTTTACTAAGAGGACCTACTTCTAGGGTATTCTTCTGCGAAGACGGGCAACGAAGATAGTCTTGCGATCCACCAATGCATAAGCTACTTTGAAAGCAAGCAAGGCGACTGTGGATTGATGGCTTGAATGACATGATCAGAGGACGTAAATGAGAGCAAGTTTGACCAATAAGACTGGTCACGTATTTCGATCTCTCTTAAAAGCACCAGATAGCGAAATGGGATGGAGACTGACGCCTTGGCAACTAGTATAATCAGACACCTCACAGGGCGGCTTGCTCAATCGTCGAGAGATTCCTTGAAAAACGTAAGACGAGTGATTCGACCCCGAATAATGAGACACGCTTTTGTGATCAGTTGCCGTGCGTTAGGACAAGGGTGGGGAAAATCCGTCAGGTTCAGCTGCTGCTCCTTTCAGAGCTTCAATGTAAGGCAGTACTTCTACTTCTGTTGGAGGGTCACATGAAACCAGATTCAGCTTTAGTAGCCGGCTAGCACCAGGTCAGCTGAGTTGTTCGTTAAAGTATTCTGCTAAGCGGCCTAGTCGCCGTTTGTTCCACTAACGGGGATTCGCCAAGTCCTGGTACTGCGTATTATTTCGAACTCGATGATTCGCTGATGACGTGGTTGTCTTCAAACAGTTAGAAATTCTGAACCGTTACATGAGTTGACGTTGCAAACGCCATTTAAATTTGTTTTCATTATGGCAGGTGGCGTTTTTTGCTCGGTTTGGTGATAGAATTTTCTGACTGGGCTTCAAGGTTGGATGCACAGGGAACGTTAGCTGCCGAACATGTTTCGCGTCCAATCGGATGCCAAACTTGAATAAATTTTCCTTAGCCCAACCTCATAACAGGCGCAAACAGCTGGAACAGAAAAACGATGGGAAAACTGAATTCGCTGGTTTTCTTTGCGATCAGTGAGTCGGGACGCGGAGTGTATCAAAATTAATGGATGGACAGATCTAATCGGACCTATGCTATCGCACTGAGCCAAACGAAAGGTAACTTACGTTAAGCTAATTAATTTGAGTGCGTTTCACGAGAGGATGTGCTACGTCTTGCACATCGACAAGACAACCTGCTTGCACCATTCGCATGGAATTCGATTCATTGTCCCCCAGCAGAATGAGGGTATTCAGTCTGGTTCAAAGATCATAAGACTAGGTAAATCATTTCCCCAGTAACCCGTAACTTGATGACTGACAATCAATACCAATAGTCGTCCACCGTCGTTTCATAATTATTCGAGATTGAGTCAGCAGAACGTTAAAACGGATGTAATTTAACAAACCCACTGCACTTGTTCACTCGACAACCAACGGAGAATAGCTTTGGTAGCTACCTTGAAGCCCAATTGTCCTGTGGTAGATATTACTTCTAAAGCCGTTCTGGGGGTGAAGTTCGAAAACCCTGATTTGAAATAGAAAAGTGCCGCATGAAACAACTCCAGAATGCAGAGCCATCGGCTCGATCAAGTAATGGAACGCGTTGAGCAGCTTTGGCATGTGATCCTCTTACGGAAAGCGCGTAATTCAACCAAATAGGATCGAAACTCCAATGGACTGCGTGCCTAAAGCAAAACCATACAGTCTGTACGGTTGGATTACCTATTAAGGATCGGAGTAAGTAAACTCCACTCTGACTTGAGCTACAGTAGTACAATAACCAATCAATAGAGACAAAAATTAACATCACAATCCCCTTAAGTTAACTTAAATTGCTGAGTGTTCTTTACGCGCTGATAGGCCAATAAAGTAAAAATGAATCAAATTACAGAGGTGCACTAACGTAAAGACAGCGCGCATAGATCAAGTGTACGTATGAAGTAATTACTACAACATTTTATCATCTAATAAATCTAACCGTTGAATAAACTAATTCCGACATCCTGAAAAGAGAATCCTAACAGCAAGAAAGCCTAATCGAAGGAACGCGCAAGACGCCTCAGCCAACGCAATCTACAGCCAAGCACAAGGTTCAGTGCGCAACCACTCCTCATTACTTGTCCGTTTGTTCAATGTCGAGTCAACAGCGATGTTGCAAAGCCAATAGTCTTCGTTCACCTTGTTGTATTCTATATAAGCTTGAGCAAGCTTCATAAAAGCTTCTTGTAATGACCATGCAAAAGTGGAGCAGCCGCAGCAGCCGAAAGGCAACATAGCGTGCACTTGGCCCTTCACGAACAACCGAAAGACAAAGCGATCAAAAAACCACTCGAATCTTGTGCGGGAGGACTATCCATCGAAAAGTGGTCTGCTATGCGCCCACGCGAGTAGAGAAATATGTTGCTCCGTTGTTACCTCTCCGGCTGCAATGGGATTGGGAACTGGGTCAGCCTAATACAGAAGCCAGCTTAACCTCGACTGCTGAGAAAAATTTGCTAATTATCCCAATCCTTATTCATCACAAATCTTTAGTTCAGATTACCATTAACCATGCACTTTCATGCAGCAGTTTTGGTGGATGTTTGTTGGTTACCCAATTGCGCGAAAGAGCAGCATTGAGTAGATGCACGAGGGCCACTGTTAACGAAACTCAACTATAGCACTCAACATTTTTAATCATCCCGAGAATCACATTCGGGAAGCTTAATGCGACCCACGCGCGCAGGTCTCCCATTCTTAATTTTACCACCCTATTCATCAGTAGAGTTTCGTTTGTCTTTTTCAACATGACTATACGAGGAGAAGTGAAGAGACAAATGTCACCGGCTGTACTACGGACGGAGGACTGGTGTCACTTTGCAGTTATATATTTGAGAAATCAAGACTGTTGATCACAGGTAGTTGAAACGCACCCTGAAATAACCTACGGATCAGTCCAGAATGCGTTGAAGGTGCACCACTGTCCCGGTGGATATAGCTACCGGGTCAACTCCCGGAACAAAATGAAACCCTATAGTATTCCCCATATCCAACAAAGGTTCGTTATATCTTTCGCTTGCCTTGATTTTGATTAACACTGAACAGAGCCCTCGAATTCAATAACCTAAATGTGGGTACCAACGATGCACAGCACGAGATGTGCACTGAACTATATAAGGTCTCAATGGCATGGACCGATTATTCAATTACATCATGTGTGCACAGTACCAATCTTTTAATACAACCAAGCACCAACTGTAGAGACTATGAATCTCCCATGTGGGGTATGAGAAATACTAGCTCGAACCGAAGCATAGATTCGTGACTGCAAATATTTCAGTGCTTTTATATAAGTATAATCTTCGTGAAAAATGGGCACCTACCCGTGTTTTTGTCTTTGATGACCCGCACATCAACGTAGTTCACCCGTGCGCTATTTAGAGCATCCCGGACCTAAACGACTGAAATACGGGAATATCGAAATCTTACATCGTGGTGGTCCATCGAGGATGGTATTCCACGGAGCATTATAGTGGATGATGGTTCTTCAAACTAATCAATCAACTAGAGANAACTAATCAATCAACTAGAGAAATCGCCACAACAAACCCTTTCGTCTTCTTTCCTCTCTTTGGAATTGCTGTATATCATTCGTACCAAAGACTTTCGGATTTCTATTTCACCCTGACAAAATTAGAGTAAGAAGAGAACATTACTCGGCAATCCCGCATGAACTGACGCGCATCAGCTATGCTCATGAAGTCAACGAAAGCGTTGAGTTTTCCATTCTTCTTATCCCTTACCAGCCGTACTTCTGTGTATTTTGCGCGATCGTTCTCAAGCGCACGATAGACCTATACATGAAACGCTTAGCATACAGACACTCACATCGCGCTCGGTAGATCCAGACGGTAACGAGCGGAGCATTAATGTCTGACTGGCACCATCCTAAAACGTCGTAAAATATGAATGGGGCTTACTCCGGAGCGAGGAGAGCTGCACCCTTTAGAGTACCGCTCACCGAAGGGAGGCTGGTATCCTTCACATCTGTCAAAATACCGACCACCTTCAGACCTTCTTTGATCCGATGGAAGACCATCAAAAGAGGCCATCCCAATACCCGCGCGATTAGTTAGGATAATTATTAGGTTTGCCCATTAAAACAAGAGCAATGGAGATCAGATTCCATGAGACGATCAACGGCCCATAAAAATAAATGGTCTAATAAGTTATATTATCGGTGGCATGTTCCCCGCCCAACAACGCGTATTACGTATTCTTTCTTTGTGGTTTTCCTTATCCTGGCTAGATTCTGATATGCTTCGAAAACAGTCAGGTGTGCCCTTCAGCGGTAATTTTGAATTTAATTCCTTGCTTGCCAAAAGCATCGAAAAACTTACGTAGAAAGCACGGAAAACTTGATTGCTCTGGGTAAAAAACGGTAGTCAGACAGCCTTGCAAAATTTCTGTTCGTTTTTTGCTAGGTAGCACGAAAACAGCACGTGTGTAGTGTCTTACTTTTCTATCCACTTTATCTGACCTCACTGTACGGCTTGTGTTAATATGCGCAGTACCAAACAAACAATACGTCTTACTTTTCTATCCACTTTATCTGACCTGATTGTGCAGCTTGTTTTAATATGCGCAGTACCTAATTCACAATACAAATTCTGTTCAAAAAGACGCACGTGTTCTCCGAGTGTTGCTGAGGAATTAAGCAAGCATTATCAGTTATCGTCAAGCAGTCCGTTAACTGTCGCAGTTGTAGTGATCAACGAATTCCCATTCTACGTGTACCCTTCCTCTTGTGTACCTTATTGT